TTTTTGTAGATATGGGATCTCACTATGTTGCCCTCCTTGCTTCAAGCAGTCCTCCCATCTCGGTCTCCCAAAGTGCTGAGATTACAGGCATGAGCCACTGCACCTGGCCAAAAAGATTCTTACATGTCTTCTTAGACATATGTACTTTATCGCCGCCGCCGCCACCGCCGCCCCTCTGGGGAGTGACTCCAGGACGCCTTCGCAGAGACACGGGGGAGTGTGGGGGGAATGCCACCCGGCCCAACCAGCTGCAGCCCGCGGCCCGGCCCGCCCCCATCGCCGCCGCCGCCACCGCCCTCCCTCTCGGACAAGGGCGTGCAGACCCCGGGCAAGGGCGCGCCGGTGCCCGTGCCCAACGGCAACCACAGGTACTGCCGTCTGTGCAACATCAAGTTCAGCAGCCTGTCCACCTTCATCGCCCACAAGAAGTATTACTGCTCCTCGCACGCCGCCGAGCACGTGAAGTGAGCACCACACTACAGACTGGAGAAGCTTTGCACGCCCCGTCGGGAGCAGGGCCCCCCACCCCGCCGGGACTCCCGCTCCGGGGAAGCTCACCAAGCACAGGCCTCGGCAGAGGGGGCTGCCGGGGGCAGCGCCCGCCCGGACCCTTGGCACTTAATAAAGAAGTTCAGTTTGATGAGCACAATGGCGGAGCAGCCTGGTTCTCTGAGCAGCGGGGCCCGGGGCCCACAAGCCCACACAGCCAGAGCCCGGGTGCCCTCTGCACCCACCACCACCCCCGGCTCGCACACAGGCCCCTGCGGGAGCCACACACTGGTGGTGGTAAGAGCTGCACAGAGCCCTGGGTCACTCAGAGGCCACAGCACGCGCTGTAACCACTGCCCTGCCTGGCTGCTCTGGGCCACCTCCCACCCCTGCCCAGCCCCACCGCTGCCTCCCACCAGGGTCCAACCAGCAGCACTGGCTTGGCCACTGGACACCAAAGGGGAGGGTGTCATTGTGGCCTGGCCGGCCACCCTCCCACGTGCTTGGTCTCTGGGCCTGGATGTCACTTGTCCAATCTCAGACCGCCAGGGATTGCAGGCATGGTGTGTCGTGGGGAGGGTGAAGCCCTGTGGTCACCAAGGCGGGGGGAGAACGGGACATGGGCAGGGGCGACCAAGGCCCAGAGGGTCTCCTGGCCACGAGAGGGGCAGGTCCCGACCCATCGCCGGCAGGTGCACCCTGCCTCTCAGAGCTGGGCTGGGCAGGGCTGGTGGGCACCCGTGGTGGCCGCAAGGCCCTGCTGGGCTATGGGTGCTCCGGTGAACACAGCTGACCGCAGTCTAGCCACAGCCGTGGCCGTGCCACTCTGCAGCTGGCTGGCGTGGGCACCCTCCAGCCTGCCCTTTTGCTGGAGGACAGACACATCTGTCCATCTCCAGCTTTGCCTGAAGTAGCCAAGTGTTTTCCAAACAGTTTTACCCAGCAGCTCACGGTAAATGCAAGGGAACACTGAGCCTTTCTCTGCCCCAGACATCCCTGAGGCCCTGCAGCCTGCTGGCGGGTCCGCCTCCCACCCAGCCCCCGGGTGGGGGGTGACGGGCTCAGGGCCTGGGTTCAGATGGGAACCGGTGGTCGCCAAGGCCGCTGGACAGACAGGGTTCCCGCTCTCCCGCGGGTGCTGGGCTCTGGGGGAGTCAGCTGGGGAGGGTCCCAGGTGAGCCAAGCTGCCTTGTTTTCATAGATGCCCCTTTTCACGAAGGCCAGCTGTGGACGGGGACGGAGGGCGAGGCCCTGACTCCAAGGCAGACCACCCGGTAACGCCCGTGCACACTGGTTTTTAGGAATCTGGACTGGTGCGGACGGAGGGCTGCTCCGTGTACATTTAACAGTAAAGTTTCCTAAGGGGCTGGAAAGCAGGCCCCACGGCCCTGCGCTCTCCCCCCGTGTGCCCAGACGTGCCTCGGTTTCCACACCTGTAAAATGGCGGTGGGAGGTACTGGGCGATCCCGTAGCCCCTCTGAGCATCCCGTCTGGAGACAGCGAGGCCCCTGGGGCCCAGGCTGAGCCCTGTCACCCGGGAAGGCCCTGCGTGGCCTGGCCTGGCGGCTCTAGGGCAGCCTCCCCGCGGGCCCTGCGACCGGGTCCTGGGTCATGTGGCCCCCCCAGCCACGCGGGGCTGGCACCTGCTGCCCTCAACCAACCTAGGCCCGCCCCACATGGCCGTCGCCCACCCACCTGTGCCAGGACTCGGCTCTGGCATGGACCCCCCTTCCCTGGACCAGGTTTCTCACCCCACAGACACCATCGGTGGCCCCTGCTCCCCAACTCCTGCCCGTGCTTCCCCAAAACCCAAGATGCCCCTTCCAGCCCACGCCTGCCTTGCAGCCCTGTGCCTGTGGTGGCCCGGAGACCACACCCAGGCTTCCTCCCACCTCTGTCCAGGGAGCCTGACGCCCCTGTCCGGACACCCTCCGCACCTGCCCGCACCAGCTGGTTCTCTACGGACCCGTCCCCAGACCTCCCCTCGAAGTCCCTCCACGCTCCCTGCTCCCGCTCCCCAACTCTGTCTAGTCCTGCCACGTCTCCTCTGGGCCCCAGACCTGGCCCCACTGCCCGAGACGTCACCTCAGGTGTCCCTCCAGGGCCTGGACGTGTCCACAAGTGACTGCGCCCCTCACACTTGTGCAGACATCCCCAGACAACCCTCTGCCCCTCCAGCCTCGCTCCCTCACCCTCCACCACCAAAGCGCTCAATGTGGCCCAAACCCACCACCCGCCAAACCAGCCCCTCCCACGTCACTGGGTCTTCTCTGCCTGAACGGCCACTCCCAGGTCTCCCCAAAAGTCCGACTGGCCCTACCTCTTAGGCACAGTCTCCACTTCTCCCTCCCTGCCTCGGCACGCTGGAGAGGGGCTCCCGGCCCTGCAAACCCGACACCCCACTTTGGCCAACCCAGGCAGCGCCTCCTGATGCCCTCTGCTGCCCCCAGAGAGGCTGCCGTTCCCGTCCTGCCGCTCTCAGCTCAGCTGCCCCCTCTTCACGGGCTTACCCTCAGAATGGCGGTCACTCTCTAGGTTTCTGTCCTCTTGCCCTCCTGGCTGGCCTGTCAGCCCCGTGAGAGGTGGGGCTCCCGCCTGCTTGGACCACTCACTGCCTGCGGGCACCAGCGTATGGCTGGCTCCAAGGAGGGGACTTTGCCTGTCCAAGTCTCAAGGGGGTGCAAAGACCAGCAGGCAAAACAGCAGGTGCCCGCCACATGCCCAGCCGTCGGTCCCTATCACAGGCTCTGATGTCGGCACCCCCCAGTCCTCCGCCCGGGCTTCCCCCGATGCTGTCTCTGGGCTGGCCTCCTGCCTGCAGTTGTGCCCGACACTGTCCCGCCAACCCCCTCTCCCCCAGCACGCTCTGAGCAGTGACACCACGTCACACACTCGCCGCACACGGCACAGGGCCATGGCACAGGGCCAGTCACGGCCCACTGTCTCCAACCTTGCCGTCCACTGCATCCTGCGTGCGACCCGCACTGGTGACAGAGCCCGCACCCCTGAGCACCTCGTTCCCCTGCGTCTCAAGCCGCTCCCACCCCGGTGCCCCAGCCCTGCCTGTGACACTCCTCCCCTCAAGACTGGCCCCAAAGGCCCCTGGTCTGCCCCCAGAGCCCTGCGGGAAGGGTGGGCCTCGGAGCCAGGGCCAGGCTGGCAGCATCCCTGCAGGTCAGCCCCCCCGCCCCTGAGTCCCTCACGCCACTGGGACACAGATGTCCACGAGATGGACACAGGGCCACCTCGCCTGCTGCGCACAGTGTCCGGCCTCCCAGCCACCCTGCGGGCTGGTGCTCTACCCACTCCATGTGTGAGGACACCAGGGTCCGTTGGGCCAAGCCATCCGCCACGGCCACATCTGTCTGCCTGCTCCCGCCCCCGTTCCCACCACTGGCCCCACGCTGGGCGCTGGCTCCCCCCACCCGGCTTGCAAGAGCCCAGGCTGAGCAGGAAGACGCCCGCCGCAGCTGCCTGGGGGGGCGGCAGGGGAGGGGCCCTGCTGCTGGGCAGTGTGTCTGCCACACCCAGGACCCCAGCATGCACAGCAGGACGTCATTTCTGGCGCCAGGGGGCCTGCCCTGAGCCCCCCATCCCCGTGCACCCTGCCCGCACCCCCTGCCGCAGACCCCTCAGGAGAGCCTGGCTTTGGAGTCGCCGCAGGTGGCGCCTCAGGACACCAGGGGGCAGCAGAGGCTCTTGTGCGCGGCCGCCGTGCCTGCCCACCTGTCCCCACCAGCCTCCCTGGGGGGCGGGGAAGGCAGCCCCCCCCACCCCTGCCCTCCATCAGCACCGACGCCCTCCTCCTTGGAGCAGCCCAGTCGCTCAGCAGAACACTGCTCTGGGCACCTTGGGGAGGCTGGGCCTCCGGGCGGGAGCAGAGGTGGCCGCCCACCCCAGGGGGAGCTTGACCACCGGGTTCGGGCCTGGGGCGAGGGGCCGCTGGGGAGAAAGAGGGCGGCCCCAGGCAGAATCCCAGCACAGAGCTGCTTGTGCGAAGTCCCTGGAGGCTCACCCTCTGACAGCTGTCCTGGGGCAGGGAGCAGGAGGCTCAGAGACGTCCGCTGGGACAGAGGAGGCTGCCTGCACATGCCGGCGCCAGCGCCTCCCCATCTGCCGCCAGGGTCCCCTCTGAGCCCCACCCTCCCCCGCCCTGCCGCAGCCCTGCACTCCCCTGCAGGGCGCTCCCCCCACCCGCTGGGGAGGGTTAGGTTCCGGGGATGCGGTTGGCCCAGTTCCCCAGAGCACTCTTCTCCTGGGGCCGCCCGGTCACCTGACACCTGAGCCAGTGGAAAAGACACATTCTAGGGTCCCCCGGACGGACCGAATCGGGCCAGGACCTGGGCATCTGTGTTTAACAAGCTCCCAGCAGATTCTCCCCCAGACCCAGCACCCGGCCCCCAACCTCCGCGCAGGAGCAGACGCGGCCCTGCTAGGGAGACCTCTGCTGGCTGGCGCGGGGCTGCACCCAGGCCTCTGCCTTGGGCCAGCGTGTTCCTGCGCGTTCTCCGCAGGTGGCCGCCGGTTCACCGGTCACTGGCCCAGGGGCCTCTGCAGCAACACAGGCTTGGAGGCAGGTTTCCAACGCTCATCCAGGAAGTGAAAGCCCCGAGGTCGGGCCCACAGGCTCGCACAGCAGCCGGACTGCTGCGGCGGACACGGCCGCCATGCGTCATTCCAGGCGCCAGACGAAGCCCAGCCAGGTCCTGCCTGGAGCAGAGGCAATGCCGAGTCCCCACGGCAACTCAGCACAGCACTCGGCCAGCCCCTGGCTCCAGAGTCAGCACGGAGAAATCAGCACCGTCTCTGCGAGGGAGCTGCAAGGGGCACCCGGGTGCGCACGCCACGGCCTCTAATACACACGGCAGATGTGGACAAAGACGAGGTCGGCAGGAGAACGGCCCCAAAGATGTCCGTGGGTTTTGTGTGTGTGTGTGTTTTGCTGTCCTGTTAGGTCAAGAGACATCCCTGTTTTCGTC